TCCCTGCCGTGAATAAAAAATTACAAACTGAACCAGGAGGAAAGGAGATTTTTCGCCCATTTGCCACCTAACTTCCCAAAAGCAGAGTTGGATAGAGCCAAACGAGTTTATGCCGGAATTTTGACAGCGAATTATGCTGGAAGCGTTGAAAAGTATCTAACGCCCGGAGACGAAAACCAGCCATGAAGAGACGCCTTAAACGAGTTAGTAATTTTTGCTGATACTTGATACCAAAGCGAAGCCGGAAAAGTTATTCATAAAATGTTTGATTTAGCAACCACTCCCAAAAAAAATTACTTCCAGGAGAGTTGAGAATTATTTTTAGCAGCGATGAAGTTATGGGAGTTGGAGGAAGAAGATAAAAGGTTAACAAAAAAAGAGGAATTTTTAATAACAGCAAAAAGCGAGGAGGTTAAAAAAGTATCAAAATGAGTTAGTGCAATTGTTCAAAGTACAAAATTGTATAGCATTGGTGAGAAACAATTAGTAAAGAAAGCATTCGATAAATATCTCACAAGTAACTTCAGCGACGAAAACGAAGAATGACAAAAAGAAACTGCCGAACATCCCTATAAAATCGGCATACCAGAAAATAAGTATCCAATAGTCAGGTTAAGCGGTTTAGGCTCGTTTGCTTACCAACTAGTCGAATTCTTGTGAGATGTCGACAAGGAAAAATTTAAGCAAGCACTTTACGAAAATTCTCGGGAAGAAGGACAATATTTTTATCACTTGAGGGAAAAGTTAAAAAAAGATCATTTTTGCTATATACGGCCAGAAAAAGGCGAAAAATTACCCCAAGATCGTACTGTGTTAGCAGAAGTTATGCGGATTTTTGAGAAAATTAATAAAGAGTGTTGGGGATGAAAGAACGAAGTTTGATCTTATATGAAAAAAAATGATTGCGATAAAAAAGGCAACAAACGAACAGAAGAAGAGAATACCAAAGCTTGTTCGGTAGGTGTTTCGAGATTAGATCTTCCACACCTTTTATCAAAAAGAAACGATAAAGAAGCACGGATTTTTTTTGTAGATCGGTGCTGAGGAACAAAGGAATGAAAAAAAGAAAAAGCCAAAATTAATATTGAAGTAAATACAAAGAAGGTTCTTATTTGTTAAAAAAAAGAGTTAATTTTTGAGAAATTGTTTTTCTTTTTCAGCAAGTTTTTAAGAAGGAAGAGCTAGAACAAAATCCCTTGCTTGAAACAGGAGGAGAATATGAACTGAAAAATGAAAAAACGGGCGAGAGCCTACTAGACACTTACGAGCAAGATATTTTTTGAGAAGGGATTAAAGATCGATCAGAGGAAGAAAATGAAGAAAATGTTTGCCATGCAATGCTTTTCGTGAAGCGTAATTTAGAACAACTCAAAAAAGAACTAAAGCTTGAAGAGCAAACTAACAATTTGATGGTAATCGTAAAGACATTTTGGGCAATTTATCATGACGATAGTTTGCTGGAGATAGTTAATGTAGAAAGGGCCCACAAAGAAGGGAAGAATAAAAAAACTATGCTTTCAATCAAATTAAAAGAACTAATGCCTTTAGATTTTTCTGCAAAGGGTTGACGAAAGAAATTAGCACGAAGTGCAAGAGAATTTAGAGAAATATGTAAAGTTGTTAAAGATGACCAAGCAACCAACAAGGACAAACGATATGATGTGATAGAAATTGCTGAAAGGTGTGTGGAGAGGAAAAGAGCAAGAAATCTTGTAAGGTATTGAGTGAAGCGAGAAAATTTAGACTTGAAGTGGGCCATTTTTTACTACCAAAATTCAACAGAAGCAAAAAAAGGAATTACAGTTTCAATGGTTTTCGATAACTTAGAATTAAAATCTTTTGATCATTGCTTAGAACTTTTTAACTATGAAAGAAGCGAAAATCAAGAATTATTTGATTTCTACCGGGAAACTACTGATAAGCAAAAACAAAGAGCAGAATTTATTCAAGAAAAAAAGAAAATTGTTAGTCAAACAAAAGAAAGTATCAACAATTACGAAAAAAACTTCCAATCACTAATCCCAGATGCTCCCGAACCGAAAATTCCGGAAATTACTTCTTGAACTACGCTTTTTTGAGTAGGCTTTTTAGCCCTAATTTATTTTGGTTGAGATAAATTCTGAGCCTGATACGAAAAACCCGTTAAGCAGGAATGAGATTGAGAGGATGAAGAGGATTAATAGAGAATATATTTGGTTATAAAAAAATAGCAAATGACGAGCAAAAGATTTTTAAACTTTTCCGAGAAATAGGGCAAAGATAGTAAGGTTAGAAGTATGGCGTTTAACAAAGAATGTTAAATTGATACTTATAAACTTTTTTGTAATTGTTGGTTGCAATGAATTGGAAGCAGAAATTAAAAATTGCTGAAAAGTTGGTTAAAAAAGTGGCACAATGGT